ACCTACAAGTATGGTTTGAGATAGGACAGTAGCTATCAATATGAAGGCATAGAATAGCCTTTCTTGATGTGAAAGACAATTTGTACATGATGTCAAAAGTAAATGCTGCAGCAATGGCAATATGTAAAATCATGTCAATCCTTTAACCTCATCCCCATAACCTATACAGAGTCAAGGACACTATAAACTATATGTCAACTACAAACTTTTGTAGCCTCAAAAAGCAGACACTACAAACTTTTGTAGTCTGAAAAGCGGACACTACAAACTTTTCTAATGAAAAGGCACACACTACAAACTTTTGTAGTCTAAAAAAGCGGACACTATAAACTTTTCTAATGAAAAAGCGGACACTACAAAACCTTTTAATGTAACCCTAATTTTGTAGTCTAAGTCCAAGCTTTTGTAGTCTAAGTCTGACTTTTGTAGTCTTTTGTAGTCTATCAGTAAACTTTGTAGCCTATGTCCAACTTTTTTGTAGTCTATCAGTAAACTTGGTAGTCTATATCTGACTCTTGTAGTCTGTCAGTGTTGATTGCTCTTTTAGGGAATGCACCTTCCTTTTTTGGTCAATTTTCCCACGATATGATATTTGTTGCCCTTTCATCTAGCTTTCTAAATGTGTTGGAATCATGTTATTTGGTTTTGTTTTCATGAAGAAAAATGCAAAAAACCAAAAAAAACACGATGCTTTTGGAATTCCTTTACCTCATATCTCCACAACAGGAGCACTTCAGAACATAATTCAACCAGATTCGGGAAGCTACAGTGCAGGGGTACAACTTTCGCCTTTTGACTATTTTTGGTAATTGGTCATGTGACCACCCTCCCAACAACCCATGTGATACATATCATCATTATTATATAGTTTTCGGTAATGAAAGTGCCAAAGGGCCTAATGAAATATCCTAATGAAAAATCTAAGAAATAGTAATGAAAGTGCCAGGGAGCCTAATGAGAAGTGATGAAATCGTCAAGGTGCTCAATAAAATATCCTAAAAGAAATGGTAATGAAAGGGCCAGATGCCCCAATGAAATCTCCCAATGAAAAATCTAATGAAATAGTCAAGGAGTGTAATGAAATATCCTAATGAAAGTGCCAAGAAGCATTCTAATGAAAATTCAATGAAATGGTAATGAAAGGGTCAAGGAGCTGAATGAAATATCCCAATGAAAAGTCAAAGAAAATCTAATGAAAGTGCCAAGGAGCCTAATGAAATATCCTAATGAGAAATATAAAAAATCGTAATGAAAAGGCGCAGGAGCCTAATGAAATGTCCTAATGAAAATTCTATGAAATGGTAATGAAAAAGCACAGGAGCCTAATGAAATATCCTAATGAAAATTCTAAGAAATGATAATGAAAAAGCGCAGGAGCCTAATGAAATATCCTAATGAGAATTATAAGAAATGGTAATGAAAAAGCGCAGGAGCCTAATGAAATATCCTAATGAGAATTATAAGAAATGGTAATGAAAAAGCGCAGGAGCCTAATGAAATATCCTAATGAAAATTCTAAGAAATGATAATGAAAAAGCGCAGGAGCCTAATGAAATATCCTAATGAAAATTCTAAGAAATGATAATGAAAAAGCGCAGGAGCCTAATGAAATATCCTAATGAGAATTCTAAGAAATGATAATGAAAAAGCGCAGGAGCCTAATGAAATATCCTAATGAGAATTCTAAGAAATGGTAATGAAAAAGCGAAGGAGCCTAATGAAATATCCTAATGAGAATTCTAAGAAATGGTAATGAAAAAGCGAAGGAGCCTAATGAAATATCCTAATGAAAATTCCTTTGAAATGGTAATGAAAAAGCGCAGGAGCCTAATGAAATATCCTAATAAAAATTCTCTGAAATGGTAATGAAAAAGCACAGGAGCCTAATGAAATATCCTAATGAAAAGTCTCAGAAATGATAATGAAAGGGCCAAAGAACCTAATGAAATATCCTCATGATATCTCATTATCCTTGTCTATAACTTATGAAAGATTCCAGTGATAAATTGAATGAAATAGATGGGCAATCCTAATGAGATGCCTTTCATAAAACCTGTGGCATTATACACAATGGCTCTTGGACAGTTGTCATAGATTAATCATAAAAGTGGTAGCCACCAGTCGTCTCGAGGAACTTGCTCGTCACGCCGTTAGCCTCCAGGATCTCGACTTCGCTGGGACCCCAACCTAACTCCCTGCCTCCCACTCCGTCACAACCTACCCTTATGTCTCGAATGACGGATCACCTGTCGGCAAGGCTTAGCGATCCAGAGGTCCCTGCTCCACTGGCCGCAAGGTTGACAGACTCTACTAGACGGACGTTAGTCGATCGTTTAGAGAGCGCGGACCTTATGGCGGTCGACCAACCTGCGCAATCTTCCTTCCTCAGTGACAACTCATTCACTCCGTCTGGTGGGAGTCCCCCTTATACTCAGGAGCCCATGGACGAAGATCCCGCCAATCACGTTGACGAAGGGGTGAGCGACTACAAGAGGACGAAAAGAGGACGGCGAAGTGGACAGAAAATCCAATGGTACAGGAAGCGTGATGAGGAACGCGAGGAACGAAAACGTCGACACCGTCATTGAAAGGGATTTCTCATTTTTTTGAATGATGCTCCAATCTCACGGGGGGGCTTTGTGATACCGTAGTAACATCTACCTTCTCTTGCGTGACATGGTATCATCGTATTTACTCTTATTTGTATCTTGTTATAATGCTTTACGATAGACAAATAAAGCACTTGCAAACTTCCACCTAAACTTATATGTGGAGCGAGTCATCTTTATCTAACACAGTTAGGCGACCTCGAGCCTCCCCTCCGGGATACCAGAGCCCTGTGCTGGGTGACAGCTCCCCTGTCCCAGTGTTACAGGGAAACCAACTCGAGGCTTCGCTAGTTGGAGCCGCTAACCGCTCTCTCATTCGGCAACCACGTTGGCTCTCCTCCATGGTTATGCGACAGCGGACTCATCAAGAAGTCCTTAACGATCAGCAAGTTTCACAAGATCAGAGGGCAGTCGCTTAAGCCTGTGACCTCTCCAATTGACCTTTTGACCGTGAAATTTGCGGAGGTGTATCCTGAGCCTGCACAAAATGTGAAACAATTTTTTTATTTTATGGAACATCAGGAAAAGGTGATTTCTCCCATAGTTACCACATCAAAATCATAGCCAAATATAGTTCCCATCGCCGGTGTTGTGTTCCGTATCCTTGGCGGGTAGATCTAGAGCGCATGATCGAGTCCATCGTGAAAGGGGCAAGGTACATGGTGATAGATAGATTTGCAGATCAGCTCTCAAGCTCGGTGCATCCTATGAAGAATTGTCAGAACACTATGAGTGCTACCATGACTATCAAGTCAGCATCGAGTGGGATGTGAAATAATGCTGGTACTTGCATCTTATCTCACCCCTACACTCTCACTCATGCTTGCAAACACATGACTGTCCCTCTCCTCATTCAATAACTGAAAGCACCAATTTTCATGTTCAACATGCAGAATATCTATGCACGCGTACAACACGCAAGTGGACTTTGATGAAATCATGCAGTGAAGTGCCGTCGGAGCTAAACTCCAAATCGGATGGTGACCCGATGTCACATGTTGGTTGAAATACTTGTTTTGGCAATAATCTAGTGTCTCCTTTTTCTTCCGACGACCACCTTTGTTCTCTCCTTAACACTGCGCCTCCCCTGCCTTATCCCTTCATCGCTCTTTGCCTGACGTGCCCTCTACGAACTGCTCGAGTAACATGCTGAGTAGCATGTGTTCTTGGTTAGGAGGTATGTCCCCGCTCACATTCCATCTCTAAAATGACGATTGATTCCACCGTCCTCTGGCATACCTCTGCATTAGTATGTCAACCTTTTCTCGATGCGACAAGTTGCTTATCTTCCAAATAGGTTACCTAATCAGACGTCATCCTCAGCTATTTCATCGACGCCTTCTATCATCAGTCGCGTCGCCCGCCATTGCTATTGTTTTTCTCTCACCCACACCTTCCGTCATCAGCCGCCAAACACGCGTTGCCCGCCCTCACTATTGTTTCTAGCCATTTGTTACCAGCCGCCACCAAACACGCGTCGCCCACCATCCAAACATGGGATCTGGAACTGCGAGGCATGCATTCAAAGGAGCAGGGCAAGGTCAAAGTGGCTGGGGAGGAGGATGTGGTAGACAACGAATGAGGTAGTACACACATGTATCGCAGCTAGAATTTGAATATAAATCATTTGCCGCATTCTTGACCGATTCAGAAGGACTAATATCTCCTCTACCTCCTCTATCCTGTATATATTTGCTACAATGTACTATGAAACTACCTGGTTACATGGCTATGGCTTAATCTATAGAACTATTGTGTGCTATGGATTTTAAACGGTCAGCTATGGAGAACAATATATGGGGGGGCTCTCGATGGTGCTACCAGCGCTATCACGTCAACATACCACAATATCACAAGTAACTTTTTTCCTGATGAAGCAAGGGACCTCAGGAACCTTTCATTGCACTTTGCGTTGGGTCACTCCCATGTCTATGACATTTTAAACGACATCTTATTACAGCCCCGTCTTCGGCTATCCTCTTTGACGATTACGAACCTTGCTACTTCTGAGGATGAATTCCTCGCTTGTCTTAAACTCCTCTCCGACTCATCAATCACCACTTTAGAGATCTTGTCAGAGATAGAAGCACCAGTTCACAGCTTCTGCGAGCCATTCAAAAACGAAATATTAAAACTCCTCACATTCCACGGAGACAGAGGTCCAAAGACTCTCTGCCCACTCTTGGAAACACTCAATTTAGAACTTTGCGTTGCGGCCAATGATGGTTTCCTCACAGATATGGTACGATCCAGGCGCCGCTCTCCGCATATGCTTCGTGATCACGGCATCGCCCGTTTGAAACGACTGGATGTAGTGTTCTTTCGCTCGACGCATAGCTTGGACGAGGCAGGGCTGGAAGAAATATACGGGGAAGGATTACGAGGCTCCGTGAAAATTAAATGAACCAGACTTCTTGCCAGATGTCTAGGCAAGGTTTCTCAAGAGTGATTCTCTTCTCCGGGTGATGTAGATGTGATGAAATCGTGATTTGGATCTAATATGACTGTTGGCAGTAATTGTAATTTGTTACGCGAGTGTACATGCATTGACAGAGACAAGGATACTTAGTTATGGTCGCAGCTTTTGAATTGTCATTCCCCAATGGGGTCCGGGCAGGTTAGATCTCGTTCCTGAAATTTCCTGCGACAAAAACTGAGCAAATCTCGTGAGGAGCGGATGGACAAGAATTGTTCATTCTGCGCGTTGCAGGGTAATTTAAACGAAATGTTCGAATTGTTCGAATTGGAGTGGATGCGCAACCCGCCAAAAAGTCGTTGCGTTTTGGTTGCGTTAAAGGGTTCGATCAGTTTTCCAGGGGAAGTTTGTGGTTGTTTAGCAGCTGACAGAGAAGGCAACAAAGGAATACACTAAATGAACATCGCGTTTCAAGAGATTTGACAGGTTCTCTTGCCGTATCAGCATCACTGCTGCCTCTGCATCGGCGACGTCGAGCCTTGCGAGACCGCTGTCATTGTCGTTATTCCCCGAGCAACGTCGGTTCCTCGCACTCCAAGTCCCTCATTTCAGGTTGGTGTCGTCGTCTGCGGCGCTGGTCAGTCGTAGCCAGCGAGAACACCATCATAGCATCTTTCCTTATCTTCAGATATTCCTAGAGAAATGTAAGTGTCTATGGTTTGAAGGCAAAGCACCGTTGTTCACTATTTTTTGCTCAGGTCCACATCCAAGATCCCAGTTGCTCCAACAAACCTCAGGGAGCGAATAGCAGCACTCGAACAGCGTAATGCTGCTTCAGACCAACGTCCAACCTCCCCTGTTGCACTCTCTGCAGCAAACACTAGCCCATCCGCTGGTGGGCTGCGTGACAAAATTGCAAAATTCGAAAGGAAGGGCGGCACCCCCGTGCCTCGGGGAAGCTTTGGGCTGGGCGCTCCGCCCCCTACTGAGGGTCAGCCACGGAGGAAGGGCGAGCTTTACGGAAATCGCATTCCGGTGCCAGTCAGGATGGCAAGCTCAGGGGTTCCCCCGGTTAGTCGTTCCGGTTCTGCGTCTCCCCGGGTCAACGGTTCCCCAAATCCCAGTCGAAGGTCGTTCTCACTTTCGAGTATCTCTGGTGACTTTGACGATGGGACGGATTACACACCGTTAACTTCCCCGACATTAACTTCTCCACCACCATCTCCCCCTGACTCTGTCTCTTTCACACCAGAGATATCTACGTCACCCACTAGTTTGGTGGATGCCAGCTCGTTTAAAAAGCCCCTTTTGCGAGGGACTGATTTCGCGAAGGCATTGGATATCGCACGGAAGACGGAAGCTGGGAAACTTAATAGTATGCCAGACGGCCTTGGGATACGGCAATATGAGGAAGAGTCAAACACATCTACCCCGCAAGTGACATCCACTCCTCTCCTAGGAGAGACAGATTTGCCTGAGCATACGCCGGCCATCGTTGTGTCTTCGGAGGGCGCACCTATGGTAGTCGTCCAGGAATCCCCTGCTCTTGATACACACTCCTTCACTGCGCCACAGAACTCCAAAGTGGTTGAAGACGATGCAGGAGATCTTGTTTCTCAAGTTGCAGGTGTCAATTCTGCTGTCTTACAGCTCGACACAGAAGTGAAAGTCAATCTTGTTACAGTTGGACCCAAACTTTCCTCGACAAAGCTCGACACTGCCCATCCCATCGTTAATTTGGCATCTCCTGTTGACACTCCTTTGCCTCCTGCTGATCACACGAGCGGTGTAACGACTCCCTTGACGAAATCTACTTCGAGTCTTTCAATAGCAGTGGCATCAGAGTCCATCACAGAAGAACCAAACACCACGGGACAGCACGTTCCACCACCAATTGATATCCCCAGTGCAGAGTCCCGTGAAAGATATTCAGCAGCATCGATTACTATTGTCGTCGAGTCTCCTTCCTCTGCTCCGCTGCCGTCAACACCGGACTCAGAGCCAAGCCCCGCTCTTTCAGAGAAGACACTCTCCACGGGACAGCACGCTCCATCACCAATAGATATCCCAAGTGCAGCGTCCCCCGAAAGATATTCAGCCACATCGATAACTATTGTCGTCGAGTCTCCTTCCTCTGCTCCGCCCCCATCAGACTCAGAGCCAAGCCCCACTCTTTCGGAGAAGACGCTCTCCGGGCCTGTGTCTGTTGAAATTGAAGACAGAGTCTATCCAACATATCTGGGATCCTCTGAGTCACTCCCCGCGCCTAATGATAAGGGGACACGGGACGTACTTTCAACCCCTACGGTTGTCATCTCTCAGCCACCCCCAGTCTTTGAGGAAAGCAGTATTACTCAGGATACTTCATCGCCCTCCCCTTCTTCAACTGCCGTCCTAACGAATGGTGCGCTTGAGGAGGAGATCTCTGGACCAACAATACCACTCGAACTGCTCCCAGATCTAACACTCCGCAAAAATGCGCTTACGTTGGACGTTGACCGTCTCAATGACGAATCGTTGATATCCTCAGGATCTGCAGGGAGCGTGCTTGCTTCTTCCGCACTCGAAGGCAACCTTTCAGTTACAGATGTATTGGGTGGATACTATGGCAGTGGCAAATCCGCCCCAGGTGGGCAAGTCGAAGAGCCTGCTTCTAATGTGGTCACGCCTCCCAAAGCACAGGCACAGTCGGCACCATCACGCCATCCACTGAGTTTCCGCTCACCAACAGATTCAGGGTTACTCTCGCCAGCACCATCAGCCACCTCTTTCACTTCTTCGTCCTTGGATACCAATTCTACGACGTCGTCTCGCCCCTCAAGCATGATTGAGACCAGCCCAAGTCGCGTTACACTCGCTCACCGCTTGACACCCGCCACGAGCCGCGGAGTACCCATGTTTGTCCCACCCACGTCCTCTCTCCCACATAAATCCGACTTCAGCCACTTCCCGCCCACGCCTGAGTCAGCACGTGAGAACTTTGGCTCGGTGGTAGTGCATCATAAGCCATCGCATTCGTATTCGCATCCGAATACGTCTCAGGGCGCTGCTGCTGGGGAACAGTCAGATGCTGGTTCAATGGCTCGCCCGACATTCTCCGCCGTCGTGCATGGGAAAGTTCGTGAAGGGCCCCCGTCCGCTTTCAAGCCAAGAGTTCTCCCTCAAACGCCTCAGACGAATAGGATCAAGAGGGCTACTATCCTCCAGACTCCTTTGAGTCCTGGTTCAGGAGAGTTGGCTGACTTATTGCAGAACGCGATTTTCCTTGAGGATACTTTAGAAAAGGGGGAAGACCCTGGTGAAGCTGCCAAGCGACTTGCGGAGGAGGAGAAGCAGGAGAAAGCGAAGAAGGAGCAGGAGGCTGCTGCTGCGAAGGCTCAAAGAGAGAGGGAGGAGAAGGAAAGAGCGGCCCTTGCGCAAGCTGAGGCTGAGGCTAGGAAGGAAGGATCGAATAGTGCGAAACTCAAGCATACGTTCCTCATCCCGTTGTCAAAGGCAAAGGCTGTCCACCGGAAGGAGGTGTCGAGTTCTGTTATGGAGGGATCTGCGAACCTAAGGCCACAGCCCGAAGTAGTTCGACCGAAATCAGCCAACCCCGAGTCTCATACCAGAGAGCGGAAGTTGGGCATGACCACGGACACTCCCAAGGAAGTATCACACCGTTCAACGACTCCCACTGAATCCAAGGACAAAACCATCGAGTTGCCTACTAAATCTCCAAGGTCGAGGTTTGCCAGTTTCCGCAGGCTGGGTAGCCTCTCCCGATCGTCGAAAGATGGAAATGGGCCTGCCAGGCACAGTATGTCCATGTCCTCAGAAATCTCATCAGACGACTCGGCTCCTGCTGTGACGCCTCCCGATCACGGCATGGAGTTCTCTTCGCTGATGACGCCCGGGAGTGAGTTTGGGCAGATGGGAAATGGGACTGGGAATGGAATGTCGTGGCCGTCGTTGTCGCCTAAGAAGAGCACGGGGAGTATTAGTCGTGCTGCGTCGTTTGCGGAGAAAATATGGTCGAGGGCTAGAACGAAGTCTGGCGGGAGCACGTTTAGCACGAAGAGCTCGATGATGAGTTTTGGTATGTGCTTTTGTTGTGCTTTCTACTTCGTTCGTTGTTGAACCAGTTATTCTACAGCTGCTGAGTTGACACCCGAAAAGGATCGAACGGAGAAAGTATCATCTATTGGGCCTCCACCCCCCTTTAGCCTTCCCCCGCTCCCCACTGTGACTGAACCAGAGGAATCCAGGCCAACGACCCCTTCCGCATCACAGAAAAAACTGAGGGCACTCCCTGCTCTCCCAAGCAGCGCTGTAGCTCCCTCCCAACCAAACACACCATATACTCAGCAACAAAAACTCCCAACGCCTAAAATTGACTACCTCTCATCCCCGCGGGACTCACTCCTTCCAGTTTTTGAAGACCCTTCCCGGCCCGAATCGTGGATGTCCGCGTCGTCTTTAAGCTCGGTGCTTCCCTCCCCGTTGTTCGATAAGGATATCTGGGACGCTTTTCCACCTGTTCCAGGGGGCGCGCCTATGGAGTCTTCAAGTCATACCTATGGACCAACCACCACTCAACCCTCGTTTGATTCTGCTCTGCTTTCGTCTGCTATTCATCTTCATAAGGGTACGATTGGGTCGTCCACGGGAACGACGTATAATGCTCAACAAGTCCCCCGCTCGTGATTCCTTACTTTCTGGGTTTTGTTTCTTTTTCTAACAAGAAGATCGCGGACATACCTTACCATGCAGTATAGTTCAGTTATTTTGTTGTCTTTCTCTTTCGGATTCCGTTCTGATCAAATTGCACGTTGCTCAAGACCCTCTCTCCCCTCACTCGTTTACATACCTTTTTGTTGTTTAGTTTTCGTATATTTCGGGTTCGGTGATCCTGCTTAGTTGCCGCATTACAAGCTTTTTAAGATGTAATATAAATTCTGAGGTTTCAATATGCACACTCATTTGCACCAGTTCACTGTAACCTCCATGCGTGAATCATGCGCAGAAATAGTTGAAAGATAGACCTCTTTCTAATCTATAATCTATTCCGAACTCTTCTTATCCCCCTTCTTCTCTTCCTCCTCTTTCCCCTTTACCTCCTTCTCTTTACCCCCCTCTTCCAGGTCCGTCCGCCCAATACTCGCCTTATTATCCACAAGCGCATGAAGCGCAATAACAGCCCTCAACAAACTGCTCAAGTAAACAACCAACATCTGATCATTCGTGCTGCTCGCGAAACTCTGCGTCGTCCCACTGTCCGTCAGGTCAGGCAACAAATTCAGCGCGTCCTGCAGGCGATACACGATCTGATGATTCACGGGCATCTTCCCAGCCGCCACGTCCACCAGGTACTTTTGCACGTCGCTCAACCTCGACTGAAGCCCGCGAAGCGACGAAAGCTGTTCAGAGACCCTCGTAGCGAGGGTGGTTGTCGTTGAGTCTTTGATGTCTCTTAATAGGTGCTCCACCCCAATTTCCTCGGCTTCTTCGGCTTCGATGGCTGAGGGTACGTGGAGGAAGGTTTTACGTGTCTCCGTGCCGTCGTCTTTGATCTCCTCGACGCCGAAGTAGGCGTTGGTGGGGATGCCGACGGTGTGTGGTCGTACGTCGACGATGACCATTACGGGGCGGGCGATGAAGCGTTTGAAGAGGTCGTTGATTTCTTGGTCTGAGGCGCGCAGTTTTGGGCCGGTGTGGTACCACCCGATCATTCGTTCTCGTGCTAGAAAAGTACCATAAGTATCAGCAGTCAGTAAAACGAGAAAATGACATACCGTTAACTTTCTTGAACATCTCATACATCCCCTCAATATAATTATGGTCCAAAAACCACGTCTTACTATCCCTCTCGTCCTCCTCAAACGGTATCCCAAATGAATTTGCCACATTGATCGTCTTGCCATTGTCTTGGCCCAGGAGAACGCCCACCACGCGCTTGGTAGAGTTCCGTGAGATTGAGCGGGCGTGGTGGTCTGTTACGGAAAGCAGCACGAGTGGGTGAACGACTACGTGCCAATAGATTCGAGTATTAGCGGTGAATGAGGGCTTTCTTAAGATCTGAAATACACACTGACGGTCGTTCCTGCCAGCGCCGTCAACTATGAGAAAATTAGCCTTGATATTGGCTTTATAATGGAGACTTACTTGTTCTGTTGTTGTTGCTACCATCGTAGAATTACTTGGACCCTTTTCAGACGGAGGCAATGATAGGTGAAAGAGAAGAAAGTGCACTGAACGCGACGCGTATGTTGTTTGCTGTTGTTGCATTCGGAGGCTTCTCCTCCTCTCCTCCAGTCCGTTGAACGTTCTGGACCTTGAACAGTCTGAAAGAGAACCTAGTGCATTAAATCATCATAAATAGATCGTAAATCATCAAAAAAGTCTATCAACGCATAACTATCTGACCCCAATGAACTGGATATTCAAAATCGGAGGTGAACCCACAAACGGAAGCCGTCTCACCGCAAGCCCCAAAACAAAGCAGATCAAACACAACCGCTGCGTGTTCATATACTGCGCCACCCTCCTCTTATATACCCTCATTATCACCGCTTGATACTCCCCAACACGGGCCCTGAGAAGCTTTAGAAGCCAGGTCAACAGCATCATCGTCTTTGTCAATGGTTCATCTAGAAACATGGGCGGAGGGGTGTCTAGCGGAGGGAAGGGCGTGGCGTTGGTGTGGCTTACACGGGCTTGCATGAAGACTAGGTGGGCGGAGTCTGTGCTGGATGGGTTCTTTATTGCGTAGGTGTTCCCTGTCATGATAGGAAAGGAAGGTGAGTGCCGTTGATGTGGAGCGTAGTACAAAGGAGAGAGAAGATACCTCGGGGTACGTGGAACATCCCACCCTGCCTGACGACACCTGTCGTATGGTGGATTTGGACATGTACGGTGCCTTCGACGACGCAGAACACCTATCGCAACTGTGTTAGCGTGGTATGATTTTTATCAAATACGATAGTTACGTAGGAATTATCTTGAGTATTCTTTCGCGATTTCTCGGCAAGGGCAGCGAGACATAGCCTCCCAGCGCCCGTGAACCCGTCCTCTTGGAAGATACGAGTATATGACAACCCATTCTCAGCCACTGAATCACGATAGTTTGACGAATGATGGTTGTTAAACAGACCTACTCAGAAGGAATATGATTAACCTCGCTGTCAGAAACTCAACCAGAAGGAAGAATGGTACGAACGTCGTTCTACAGGGAGAGCATCCAAAGTCTGTACAACCCCATGCGTGATCTCATTCTCATTCACCGCTTCCTCACTATTGATCCTGGCTCGTTTATACAGACGCTGTTTTCTCGGAGGCGCCTCCCCAATCCTGGGCGTTGGAGGCTGAACGTCGATCGTACACGCAGCCCCAATGCCATCTGTGGGCCCTTGGGACCCACTGGACCCCAGGTCCACTTCATTGACGACGACTTGAACGTCAACAGGACCTTGCTTGGCGTTGTCTTCAACAGTGCTGGTGGTTACTTGGTCATGGTCTGGCATAGCTGTACCATTTTGATTGGGATCCATGAGTGTGTCCAGTGAGCGTAGCACGATGCGACTGGAATGATGGTGGCGAAAGTTCAAAAGGGGAATGCAAAGTGCGAAGCTTAGGTATCCGCGTGACCTTTCTAAATTTAGTCAGACTCTCCTCGGAGTCTCGGACCCCCAGCGCCATCAAGGCTTGATTTGAATTTTATCCATAGTAAATTTACCGCGAACTCTTGTCAGGTGGAGACAAAAAAGTCTTCTAAGTACTTGGGGCCATGTAAAATTTTCGGGCAACGCTCAAGTCATTTCTTGAAATGAAGTCACCCTGCAGCAGAAACGACTCCGAACGAGTCATTGCCGGGATTCCCTCAAGATTCCCTTCGATTTATTCAATGAAAAAACTTCACACCACCTCGCAATCCTTCTCCGTACATTTCTTTCAGCTCTTCCTCGTCCGACGTATGCCCCTGGGGCCAATCAAACACTACATCCAGTCGTTTGAAAAGGGCAATGCCATTATCACGAAGGGTACGCGGAGAGCGGCGTCTAGATCGTACCATACGTGCGAGGAGACCATCATCGGCCCTAACACACAGCTCTAGAGTCAATGTTTCTAAGAGCGGGCAGAGAGCCTTCGGATTTCCTTCGCCTTGGAACGTGAGGAGGTCGATCGTTCCATTCTTGATTCCCCCGTAAACTGGCCCTTCTGGCATTCTTAAGACCCTAAAGGTGGTGATAGATTCAGAAAGATATGTAAGACAATCGATGAAATTGTCGTTTGAAAGCTCAAGGTTTCTTAGCGTCAAAGAAGAGAGTCGAAGGCGGGGCCTAGACAGGATGTCGTATAGGGTTGCAATAGTCATACCGTGACGGCCCAACATGAAGATAATGGAAAGATCCGTGAGGTTAGGTGCATCTAAAAAATGAAAAAATTGTTGCACATTTTCTCGAGACCCCGAGGCCGTATGAGTGTTGATGGTCAATTTTTTGATTGGAGAGGTGACAGGTTGAGGTGACTGCGGTTTGCCATAGTGGTCCGGTCCTATCGTTAGGTAGCAACTGTGGAGATTGATTGCCCTTCCCAGCAGGATCAGGGCGTTGGCAGTATTTGTGGGTTCAACGACCTCAAAATTTTTCAATTGCTCCCAAAAAGAATAGTTCGGCGGCAAGTCGGTCTGATAGTGTCCTCGTTGATTGCTAGTATAGCTGCGCAAAGCTGGGCATCCATCCAGTAGCCTTTCATATAGAACATCATGATCCACTTCTTTGTTGCCGTCGCAAATCACTTCTACACTTTCCAAAATAGGAGTGGTGAAGGTATGAGGGAGGTGGACATCCGTTGGCTGGAACCAATCACCGAAACCAAGAGAGACACTACACCATCGGTACGACTGAGCTAGGAGGCTTGGTAGCAAGGCTTTTATGGAAGGAGACTGGAAAGGGTTGAGCCGCTCCGCTCTCACAACTAAAGAAAGTGGGCAATTTCGGGATCGGTCAAGCCAAGTGGAGACTTTCGAATACGAGATAGCCAAGCCGGAGGGCTGGCGGATGATTTCAATAAAACTCCAAAGTTCGGGAGTGGATACCGCGAGGTCGTTCCAACGTTTACACGTCAGGCAAAGGGCCGCTAATCCCTTGTCGATTCCTCCTGGCTTCAGATCTTGATAGTATGACATGAAGATAAGGCCCAAAAGTTCCGGAGGCAGGCCATTTATGTTGGGCATTGTGGGATGTAGTCAAGTTCTTGGATGAGCTGGCGCCGTAGACAATGACGGCACTAGGCTGGCAGACTGCAATGAATAGGGGGAGTCAGAGTTGCCGGTTCAGCGACGGTTCAACGACGATTCAAGATCAGGTACAAGGACGATTCGGATATTTTCTTTTTGCCTGAATCGTCGTTGAACCGGGTTTAACTCTGACCCCCCCGGTTCATCTTGAGGCCTCAACTTCTGTTGCATGCCGGTTCTGACCACCTCATGTATATTCCATGAAATTTTACATACATATATATAATTGTTCCTCCTCTGAAAGCTTGATAGCGGAATCCATGACGCGGCGTACAGAGCGTCAACGGCGGTCAGAAAACCTCATCAAAGCGTTCCTTCAGTACTGCAAAGCACGTGCAACGCACCTTTCACAGCGTGCGCGACGTCAACAACGCTTTCTTCGGCGCACAGGCCAGCCTGAGGGTGCAGACAATGGACTTGAGTCGATCCTCGATGAGCTGCCTGATGTCTCTACACTGGACGTTGACGTCACCATGATCGACCTCGCGCGAAATTCATTGGATTCAGTTCACTCGGCGGCTGCATCCGCATCAACAAACGATACCTCTGAGAGCAGCGGCGACATTACCTCTGGTGACAATGATTCCTCTTCTTTCACCTCTCTTGCCTCCTCCTTTTCTTCACTTTTCTCCGACTCCGAAGTCAACAACATGCCGGAACTTCTTCCAGCAGGATACCCAGATTCAGATGAGGAAGATGTGGGTTTGGATCCTGAGGATGACTCCTCCAGCTCTGCGGGTGACTCGTCCAACTCTGAAGGAGGCTATGATGAGGGAGGGTATGGTTCTGGGATAGATGGGGATGTTGAGGACTGGGAAGAAGATGAGTGTGAGATTGGAGGGTTTGAAGCCACACCAACCGAGACGACGACGACTCGACTTTCACGCGCCGTGCGAGAAGAACTGGTGGATATCTACGATCGGCGTTACGACAAACCACGACAGCCATTTCCCAGACCACCAGGAACAATGCCTCACGTTCTCAATGTCTTGAAGACTGAAAGGCCGGACCATTTCCGACAAGAGCTTCGTGTCAGCCCCTACACCTTTGATTGCCTGGTCAGTGCCATAATCAATGACCCAATCTTCTCTAACCGTTCATCAAACGAGCAAATGCCTGTCGAGGATCAGGTTGCCATCACCCTCTATCGATTCGGTCACTTTGGGAATGCCGCTGGTTTGGACAAGGTGGCAAAATGGTCAGGGTACTCGAAAGGGACGGTTGGACTTGCGACACGCCGCGTTATGACTGCGATCCTTCGGAAGGAGTTTATGGACAAGGCTGTGTCCCTGCCGACAGCGGAAGAGAAGGAGGCAGCAAAGGAATGGGTTGAGAGTCATTCCTGTAAGGGGTGGCGTGGTGGGTGGTGCATGGTTGATGGGACGCTGGTTCCTTTGTTCGACCGGCCTTTTTGGTACGGGGAAAGCTACTTTGATCGCAAGTGCAATTATTCGTTGAATATTCAGGTACGTCTTCTACCATTATTATTTTATCCTCGAGGGAATCTAATCAAGCCTTGTATACAGATCGTCTCCCTTCCCAATCTTCGCATCATTGACTATGGCTATGGTTTTACAGGGAGCACTCATGACTCTACAGCTTGGGAGGAAACCCGTATCTTTTTGGAGCATGTGGAAATTTTCGACGAGGGTGAGTTCATTTGGGGTGACTCGGCATATCCGGTCAGTAATATTTTCATTGTAATTGTCTTATTAAACTAGTAAATGCTACTAGATTGAACTTTGGCTTGTCGCTCCGTTCAAAAAGCCTGACAGCGATCTCCCCGAT